ATCCCATCCCATCCCATCCCATCTCATCCCATCCATCTCACATGCAGGAAGATTTTGTAATCCACATAGGAATTCCAGGAGCCCTCGTTCTGCACGCGGGGATCCTGCACTCGCACCGTGGTCAGTTCCTGGGGACAGCACTATGGGGTCAGGGGGCTCCAGGACAGGATCCACCCCATCCCCGCTGGCCCGGCTTCCAGAATGGCACTGGAACCTCCAGACATCCCCATCCCATCCCATCCCATCCCATCCCATCCCCATTTCCATCCCGTTCCCATCCCATTTCATTCCCATTCCCGTTCCCATTCCATCCTATTCCCATTCCCGTTTCCATCCCATTCCCATTCTCAGTCCCATTTCCATCTCATCCCATTCCTATCCCATTCCTATCCCCATCCCCATCCCATTCCCATTTCCATCCCCATTCCCATCCCATTTCCATCCTGTTCCCATTCCATCCCGTTCCCATTCCCATTCCCATTCCCATCCCATTCCCATTCTCAGTCCCATTTCCATCCCATCCCACTCCTATTCCCATTCCCATCCCATCCCATTCCCATTTCCATCTCATTCCCATTCCATCCCCATCCCATTTCCATCCCATTCCCATTCCCACTCCCATTCCCATTCCCACTCCCATTCCCATTCCCACTCCCATTCCCATTCCCACTCCCATTCCCATTCCCATTCCCATTCCCATTCCCACTCCCATTCCCATTCCCACTCCCATTCCCATTCCCACTCCCATTCCCATTCCCATTCCCATTCCCACTCCTATTCCCATTCCCATTCCCATCCCATTTCATTCCCACCCCATTCCCATTCCCAATCCCATTCCATCCCGTTCTCATTCCATCCCCATCCCCATCCCCATCCCCATCCCATTCCCATCCCAATCCCATTCCCACCCCATTCTCATTCTCATTCTCATTCCCACTCCCATTCCCATTCCCAAACCGGGAAGGTTCTCACTTCCTCTTGGTTCTCCAACATCCTAAAGCCAGAACCCAGCGGGAAACATCTGGGAAAAAAAACAAACCAAAAAAATGGAATTCAGAGAGAGAATTTGAGGGTTTTTTAAGGGTTTGTTGAGGGTTTTTTTGAGGGTTTTTTAGGGTTTTTTGAGGGTTTTTTGAGGGTTTTTTTGAGGGTTTGTTTGAGGGTTTTTTGAGGTTTTTTTGAGGATTTTTAAGGGTTTTCTAAGGGTTTTTTGAGGGTTTTTTAAGGGTTTTTTGAGGTTTTTTTTGCCTCGTCCCATCCCATTTCCCCCTGCCCCTCACAGGTTTGTCCCGGCGAGTGTCAGAATTGAGGGAAAAACAGGAAAAAACCGGGCACGAATCCCATTTATTCCTTTCCCACACCCCCTATAAAACCCCGGGGGATGAGGGGGAGAATTCCTGAGGYTGTTTTGCCTTTCCAGGGAAAAGGAAAAGGGATCGGACCCCGCGCTCGGGCCCGGCCCCGCCGGGAGAGGCCGCGGTTGAGGCCCAGCCCAGCACCGCCTCCTCCCCGGGGGCTGTGGGGATTTGGGATCCCCCGAGAAACCCCAAAAGGATCCATTTGGGGTCCCCCTGCCCGCCCCAAACCTTTCCCGCCGCTCTCCCCTCAGCGCTCCCTCACCTCGCACAGGACGCGGCCCCTTTAAGCGGCGGCGGCCGCGCGCGCTTTTATAGCGCGGGCGGGGTGGGAACTTCCGGTGCGGGGCATGTCGGGAGTTGTAGTCCGAGCACTTCTGTAGTTCAGGGGAGGGTCCGGTTGGACACCGGCGGGAATTTCTGCCGGGAAAACGGGAATTTGACCCTGGCACAGCAGCGTTAGAGTCCCCATCCCCGCAGGTGTTCTAAAACACGTGGATTCTAAAACGAATGTGGCACTTGGGGACATGTGGCAGTGCTGGGGSAATGGTTGGACTTTGTGATCTTRGAGGGCTTTTCCAASCTGAAAGATTCCACARTYCCGTAAATAAAAATAAAACTCTTTATGGAATCCATGAATGGGAGCCGTCCCATTGAGCTG